AGCGGCCGCGACGGGCGGGCAGCGCCCTCCGGCCCGGGCCGCTCCCGCCCCGCCGCCGAGCCAGCACGGACCCCGGTTCCGCACGGGCGGGACGCTCTCCGGGACCGAAGCTTCTTTGTAGTTTAATTATGGAAGGTCATAAGAGTTTGCATAGGAGCAGAAGCGCTACAAAACCACAGAATCACAGAGTGATTGACCCCACAGAGTGGGTCAAGGTGGAAGGGGTAACAGCGTCCCAGGATCACCTGGTCCAACTTCCCTGGTTAACCAGGGTCGTTTCTTCGGCACATGGAAAAGGACTACGTCCACACAGCTCTTGKGTTTCTCTGATGAGGAAACTTCCACCATCTCTCTGAGTAATCTGTTCCAGTGCATGGTCACCCACAGAGTAAATAAGTTCTTTCTCATGTTTGAGTGGAACTTCCCATGCATCAGTTTCTGCCTGTTGCCTGATATTYGAGTGGTTGAGACCACCGAGAAGAGCCTGGCTCCATCTTCTTGACACTATCCCTTTAGATATTTATACACGKTAATGGGGTCTCCTCTCAGTCATGTCTTTGTGAACCAGGTCCAACCCTCTAAGCCTTTCCTTGTAGGAGAGATGTTTCAGTCTGCAAGTCACCCTCATTGTCCTCTGCTGGACTCACTCCAGGAGCTACATGTCCCTCTCATATTGAGGAGCCGAGAGCTGGACACAGTAACATTTCCTCAGTTTCAGGGAGGCCAGATGCCCTTCCCTCCATCAGGGAGCCAGTCAGCTCGCTTTGAAGTCTAAGCTGAAGGTTAGAGAGAGATGTCATGAAAGCTGACTGTGCCTGCTCACTGCCTCACCCATGCCCCSAGCTATCACAATGTCTCTGGGACCTTCTGCTCACCCAAGTCATGTGTTTGTGTGGGCAATTTACGGGTGAATGTCACTAATTCACAAACTGGTAGGGAGGCAAGTTAGACAGGACCATCTGTAGACACYGGTACAGGAGAAAGTAGTTTGTGTGGGTAGGCTGAGTGAAATGATAAAAGTGGGATTGGAAGAAGSAGAAATCAGAAAACAAGCAGCTGTTTGCCATACAATGCCTGATTGCACAGGCACATTGCTTTCAAAGGCTGTTCCTCTGGCTTGAAGGCATTCTCAGAATGTCCTGAATGAACTGATGCCCTAAATTAACTAAACATTGAAGTAACACAGGCACTTCCTAGTTATGTCATTAATATATTCTTTTGAATGTTTTTTCAGATTACTCTATTTATGTCTTTTTTATGCAACAATTACTATGGTAGTCATCATTCTGTGCAACAATTATACCATAGGTTCACATCAAAACTCTTGGTGGTCCCCATGAAAGACTGACTGACTGGATTTATTGTTCTGATGCCTCCCTAATCTGAAGTCTAGCAACTTCTGTTATTACTAAAGTTGCTAAATGACACTGTGATCCTTCACACTACAATTTTGTTTGGTCATTTCTATATTCAGGATAGGTTTATTTYGTGTGAATTTTATTTAATTTGATATTGTGCAAAATTCTAATGTAGGAATATAAGTATTYGTGTGAGTAACAGTTAATCTGTATGTTAAGTAAGTTCAATAAATGTAAAAGTTTGCAGAACTATTTTGATTATATTTGATCATTATGACTGAGAAACGAGATATTAGCACATTGTAGAAAAAGGCTTTCTTGGCACTGATCTGTCACCAATGTATYTCATGGAAGTTTTCACTCTAACACAAACAGGATGAGATTCTATCATGATCCTGAAAACCTAGATGCAGACAGTCRGACCATTCCCTGTGCTTAATTAACATTAACTTTTGCCATTAGACAGTCAATTTTGTATTCTTCTAGTTGTTTTTTTTTCCTCTATTGGGAAGACCAATGAATGAAACAGAAAGTGTATCTTGTGTATGAACTGCCGGTCTCCACGGACAAGTGGAGTCATATCTAACAGTGTTCATGTCCTATATGCAAAGACTCAACTYATTTACTTGCCCTTACTACAAGTCCTGTGACTGAAGGCTGGGTGCTGTTTCATTATGTGCATCCGGCTTCAAAGTCAAGTGACCTTGCAAAAGGAAAAGAAGAAAAAAGCATGGTGCAGAGGGGACTGAAAACAAYCTGGTGGGAAAGGGACAGAGGAGGAGCAAGTCCTCAGGCTTATGCAGAGTCCATGACAGATTGTATTGCCAAAGGATTGGCAAAAGTGCTTTAGCTCTACTCTAAAAACCTATCTGGCAATGGGCCYGGAGTCTACAAGCCTTTGAACCTGGAGCTATGGTCAGGTAGGAGGTCACTGATGTCAGTTGTGGGAAGAGCTACATTGTAACCAGTCCTCATTTTTGAGTATTTACACCCTGATTTAGTATTTTAATACATCTAAATTATTCTCTCTCTCACTGGTCATGTTTCAGAGCTCTTTGTATAGAAAAAACCTAATACAGACAAATTTCCGGGCAAGGTCCACTATCCAAAGTTGGCCTTGAAATCTAACAGCCAAAGCTTTGTGCACATAAGTGGTGAGATGGTGTGTGAGATAGATGGTCCTTCATGACTCATCTGGAAACTCTCCTCTTTCCATCAGTTTTCAGATGCTAATGCCTTCCAGGGCTGTTCCAAGACACAACGCTGTAACCATGACTGGTAAAAAAAATTCTGCTCCAAAATTAAGTCCTAATTCCTTGTACAGGATGTAACTTCGAAGCATTTCCTATAATCTTTTAGTACATTGTTAATCTGTTCAAGCAAAACTTCCAAGGTTGATAAATTGAGAATCAAGGCAGGCATTCCAATAAACTTGTATATTAATAGACAAGGGGGATTTCCCCAACCTCTGAACAGACATGTACCTCTATTATCTCCAGTGGGTTAGTGCAGCCTGGAATGCCTGGTGATAAGAAGATTGCCACGCAGCACCGAGGTGGGAAAAATAATCAGCTGCGGGAAAAAGGTGGAGACTCCAAACAGAAGTCTAATCATTATACTGAACAATAGAAGGGAGAACTGGACAGGAAGAAGCAGTAAGAGAGAAACAGAAACAGAGAAAAATTTGCTGTCRGAGAATCAGGAATTCAGCTGCCAGTCACCACAGCAGGCAGCATRGGATGATAGCCAGGGGCTAATAGACACACGAGCTTAGACTGGTACAAGACAAGAAGAGCAGCACTGGAAACTCCTGAGAAGGGGCCTGGGTGAGAGGCAGGAGGTCTGTCTTCATGGAGCACACCTGGAGGAAGCCATGGCAGGGAGGTGAGGGCACTTTGGTCTGTCAGGGGCATCAAAATCTCAACCTCTTCCAAAATATCGCTACTATGGCTTTCTTTAGTGTTCCTTATTATTCAAGTTATTATTTCTAACATAATCTCTCTCACCCACCCTCAGTGCCTGGCTTGACATTTTGGGCTTGCCTRTGTGATGACACAGTTGAGGTCATCATGGAAGGGGTATGGGGCTGGCAGCGCCGCTGGAACATTCAGGGCTGGAGAGGGCTTGGCAGATGGATGAACTGAACAGCACCAGGCACACAAGGGTCTTACCCACACCCCAGTTTCCCATATGAAGGAGTGTAGGGGTGATGCAAGAGAGTCCCATGTCTGTCTTTGGGCTTTGTGCAGAGTGAGGTTGCAGGATGTGATCAAGAAGAGGAAGCTCCAGGGAGACCTTATCACTCTACAACTACCTGAAAGGAGGATGTAGCCAGAYAGGGGTTGGACTGTTCTCCCAGGAAACCACTGACAGGACAGGACAGTCTTAAGCTCTCTCAGGGGAAATTTAGGTTGTACATTAGGTGGAAATTCTTCCCAGAAAGGGTAATAGGGCATTGGAATGGACTGCCCAGGCAGGTGGTGGAGTCACCATCTCTGGAGGTGTTTAAGGAAAGACCTGGATCTAGYGCTTAGGGCCATGGTCTAGTTGACACGGTGGTGTTCRGTCATAAGTTGTACTTGATGATCTCAGAAGTCTTTTCTAACCTAAYAAATTCTGTGACTCTTAAAGATTCTGAGCAGGGCTGCCTTTATGAGAAACGTCAGCTGCCATYTCGGTGCCGCTGCCTGGCACACCTGGCCACGCCGCTGCCCACCGCGGCGCCCCGCAGCCAGGGGCAGCGCCTCCGTGTGCACCGCTCCCACGGGTGTCCCTCGGGACAGCAGGGCCGGGGCGGGCGGCGGCAGGCCCCGGAGCCCGCTGGTCAGCCCGCAGCGCCCGGCTATGCCCGCCGGCGCCAAGGTGCCAGCGGCGGGGCCGCGCTTGGGAGCGAGAGCGGGAGCGGGCCCGGGCGAGCGCGGAGGCCCCGGCGGCCCGTGACCGGGCGCGTCAGGTG